GAATGTCATGACACATTTCAGCTACAACGAGATAAGTGCTAACTTAGGTTAGCAATTCAGGTGGCCTAGTATGCTTGATGTTGCGAAGAATTCAGATTTGTCAAGTCTGGGGTAAGTCACTAACTCAAGCACCACTTGGGTTACTCAAGCCCTTGCCAATTCCTGCGGGTCCAGGACAAAGTGTCTCCATGGATTTCATGGACACCCTTGTGACCAACAAGGGTTGCAAGAGGCACACCTTCATCATAGTAGACAGGTTTTTCCGCTAGACCAATCCCCATGCCAGAGACTAATAAGACTGAGCATATCATCAAGTTATTCATGGACAACTGGTGCGTGACTTTGGACTGCCCAAGACTATTGTTAGTGATAAAGATGTCCGGTTCACCAGTGAAATGTGGAAGAAGGTTGCTGAACAACTGGGCAACCAACTCCAAATGACTTCGGGGAATCATCCCGAAGCCAATTGCCAAGCCCAGCCAAGACGACGGGGATGAGAAATTGCCTCTCATTGCTAGTCTGCACAATAGCGTTGCACACAACACCACCGACGTCAGCCCCAATTAGCTGCATTTGGGGTGGAAGCCTAGATCTGCTAAAGACTTCCTCCTTTCTGAAAACCGATCAGCTGCAAGTCTTGGAACCATAGAATTTCGTCACCAAGATGAGAAGTTGTTGCAGCAGGTTGTCGAGCGTATCATGAAACCTCAGGAGGCAATGATTGCCTCTGAGAACAGATAGAGACGACAATCCACATTACAGGTAGGAGAACGTGTTTGGGTAAAGGCTATAGTGAACTAGGACAAAAATTCGGCATCTCTAGAAAGATAAATGTCGCAGTACTTATGTCCTTGGGAAGTTTTAGATATTGTGAGGAGTGATTTGGATGGACCCTGGTGATAAGAATCCCTGGTCATCTGTGCACCTACCCCGTATTTCATGCTTCCAAGCTTGCACCTTTCAGGTTGACTGAGCAGTGCCCATCAATGCTTCTCCCAACCATGGATGGCCATGTGGACGTCGACGACATCTTGGAACATAGAGACTTGCCTGTTCCCAAGCCTGTGGGCAGGGGGGGAACCCCAAAACCTATGAGGGAGTACCGGGTCAGGTTCAGGCATCATACAAACCCGAAAGAAGATCGTTGGTTTACATGAGAGGAGCTCATCAGAACAACACCTCAGATCGTGGCAGAGTGTGAACGTAAGTTGCAGGGGAAAGAACCTGCTTAGAAGCATCTCAGCGGACTCTCGAAGCTAAGGGGGATGGAATGCGAGGACTGAGCCCCTGCAAAGGCCCTTCTCGGGCATGCAAACGTTCTGGGCTCAGGGCCCCAGCAAGCCTCTTGCCCACCCTAAGTGAAGGTGGGCCTGCATATCCACGTGAGGCCTATTTTGGACATTTTTATGTCGGGCACCAGACAGTTGCAGCACACCAGTTGGTTACAATGCAACGTGAGCCTTCTTGGCTCCTTCCAGAAGCAGCAGCTGCGTCGTAAAGTTGAGCCCAGGGCTCAATCGGTCGAGGTCAGAGGCCGACAGTCACGTAGCGGCTGCGGACCAATGAGAAAGCAGCACCGTCGTCACACACACACCGCGAGCCAATGAGATCGCAGGACACTTGGAGCCTGGACGACGGAGGCACTGGATGCTGTGGGCCTTTGTAACTGTCTGAAGGGCCCAGGACGCGGACACTTTGGCCCAGCGTAAAGCTACTGGGCCCCACCCAGCAGGCCAAGCAGAGGCCGAAGCAGGGTGCCCCAGCTCCAGGCATTCTGGCCTGCCAAGGCACTGCGGCCACGCTGCTGCTGCGTCGTGTGGGCGCTGTTTAGCGCTGGGCGCACACGGGGGCTTAAGAGGTGCAAGGGCGCTGCGGTGGCAGCGGGCGCACGGCAGCCATAGCCGGGCTGCGCGTGCGGTGACTGGTGATGGAGATGGTCTTCGGGTAGGAGGCGCATGCAGAAGGGAAACAGGGTGTGATGAGGGGAGGGAGAACACACCTGGTGTATGCTGGCGGTTTGCACTGGTGGTGACGTCACATACATTAGTCTTCAGCTTCGATGTGTTCCTGTTGCATGAATGTAGATAGGCTAGATAGGCCGAGTAGTGTAGGCTGGGCGCTGGGTACCAATCAGTAGGAGCGACATTGGATACGATGTTGGTGTGGCCAGAGAGCATCGGCATCGACATTTGAGTTCACTGTATTGCTCTTAAATTATTTGGATGGTATCTTGGTGCATTGTGCTCTCTGCTTGGTACATGACTATCTGGACTACTTCGTGATTTTGCAATGTGGACTTCTGTCTATCGCTATCGCTCATATTCCTTGCATTGTTCATTCAGTTGCTTATAGAGTATAGATTGTTGCACTTTGTGCCTAAAATGAACCCAAAGGCAAAGATGAAAAGAACTGCAGGAACTCAATCTTCACTCCGGGATTGGGTTCGGTTTATCATTGTATTTTAACTGTTTACAAGAGGAGAAGAAAATTATGCGAGGGAGATGACAATGGCGAGGGGAGGAGGAGATGACATTGGTTCAATCTCATGTACTTCTGTCCTTCTCCATTCGTCTTTCTTAGTCTCCATTTCTTCTTGAGTCGGGGCCTATTCCCTAGTGTCAAGACTTAAAAGTTCTCTTGCATTGTCAGTTGAGCTTGGATCACAGCCGCTATGTTTCGTGAAAATTGCAATCAGGCTTATCTTGATTTCATTTCCAACATGCATACATGCAGGTGCCAATGGCAACTCAACTTCCTCACAGTAGAATCAGCAACAAGCGTGAGCCCACACAGAAAAATCAGAGATATGGCCTTCGGTCAGGAACTCAGCTCAAGTCAACTTGTAACATCTTGCGGCTATGTCGTCTGAACGCCAGTCTGAAATGCCCACCTGAACACTGTATCCACCATCAGACACACTCACACTCGCTCCCACACACGTACACACGCACCAGGATCTACCCTAAATGTCTGCACACACATACACACACACACACTAACTACTGACTTCATCACACTGGCGGCTATGGCCGTCGTCGTCTTCCTCCTCACTAGCGGCTATGGCCACTCGCCCTCTTCCACCTTCAGGCGTCCTGCTGACCACCTGTGACCCAACGCACAAGTCAATCAAGGCCGCTGCCTCTTTATTAATAGCCTGCCCGGTCCCAGGCCCTTGAACATGCAGTTCCACTCTGGTACTTGCTGATGGACTGGGGCTGCCTATACCTGTGCCTCTTCAGGGCTGACTGGGGACTCTTGACCTTTCGGAGATTGACGGACTGCCCCTTAGGACTGTCAAGGGTCAAGTTGACTCTTCGAGGACTGACAAGGCCACGACTAACTTGATCTTTCAGAGGAAGTACAGCTAGACCTACAGACGACCTCTAGGACTGCTAAAGGACAGGTCCACGGCTCGAATCTACACGACCGAGACTACGCACACAAAACGATTGCACATGGGTTTAGGGACAGATTATGGGTTCAAAACATACAGGGTCAAAGGGCCAATATACAGTGGGCTAGGGAATTTCTAGGGATCGGGTCCTGCTATCTTCAATTGTTGAGCAAACTGGGTGAAACGCTTTCAAAATCAGTATAAAGTCGCCAAGGATCTCCAGCTATTGCAACCCTTCTCGCCCGTCCCTTCTCCCTCCCTCCCTCCTTTCCTCCCTCCCCCATCTGTCTCTCTTCCCCCAACCTGCCACAACCAGTGCCCGATATGAGGAACTGGGTACAGCAGAATCAAATAAATAGTCTTACTGGGTTAGGGAAATATAGGACAGATTGGAGGGAACAAGTCAATGAGCTTTAGCGGTTTGTTTCCTGTGCATGCCTAATCATCGTCTTTCTTTCACGTTTGGATCTGCGATATTGACTAGACTTCAGCATCAGTAGGTGAAGAAAAGTCTTGTTATGCTACGTTCTGTATTTCTGATGGATTTTTAAAGTCTTGTTATGCTACGTTCTGTATTTCTGATGGATTTTTTTGACTCCTGAATCTCTTTGTAGGTTGCGTAATGAATGTGATTTTCCTTATCGTACTTCAATCCCTCAGGGGAGATGTCCAGCAAAAAACATTCTGCAGTGTGTTGTTGGTTGAAGTGGACTGTGTGTCATGCAAGGGCTGACCTTGTGGTTGCGCATTGGGAATAACTGAGGACTTGACTATCTAAGAAAAAGATTACACTGAGTTATTGGTGTGTTTCTTTTTCAAGAAAAGTTCTTTCACTGAGCAAAATACCAATTGCCTTGTTGTGTTGACAGCTGACTGGTATAGCTGCGATGCTTTCTGTTCTTTTTCCCAGGGTAATATCTGTTGATTGACTCTTCGAATCCGTCTGGGAATGCGTATTTCTGAAAAAGAAAATTCTGAGCCAAATGCTGTGCAGCACTGTGCCCGTACTGTTACTGGGTAGTTTGGCTGGTTTGCCACATTCCGCTTGGTGGTGTTTAGTTGTCCCCTGGTTTCTAAATTAGCATGTTCACTTTTGCTGAAGGCTGGATAAATCTCTCCATCGCTGCAACAGACCAAGCATCATTTTTAAGGTCATGTTTTAGACTGCAAGAACCACAGGAACGTGCAGTGTGTGAACGGTAGAGGAACTCACATCTCGATCTTTGTCAAATTATTGCAGTGGAGGGATTCCTCTCCAAATCTCTCACTGTTAGGAGGCTGTTTTATTACAGCTTCACCTCAGAATCTAGATCAGATGTGTCATGATCAGCGTCATCAGGATGATGAGCATGCAGGGAGTTTGATACTCAGAAGCCAAGCAGTGGCCATGGAAAGTCAAATGCTGCCCAAAGATTCTCCCACAAGACTTTAGAGATTTCACCTGGGAGAGTCCGAAGCAGAGAGGCTACAGCTGCTCTCAAGTTGAGGCCTGACGTCAAACACCTGAAGAGGGATTGACAAGGTCGAAATTCTCTGATGAAAATCCTGGCCCAGGTCAGAAACTAGGGCTGGTGACAGGACCAAACATCTACGCTTTGTTGCGGACGCCATCAGCCGACACATCGGGCTGCAGCAACAGCACTGCTGACCCATGGCAGAGACCACCTGTAAACAGTTGGATGCCTCAGAGCTCCAGTGGAAGCAGCAATAGTATCTGCCAGAGTGCTTTCGACTGTGAGGATAGTCGTGGGGGTGACCTGTCCAGTAGCACCATCGCAGCGGTAAGAGCCAGGTATACTGCAGAAGATTTGTCAGGCATGAACAGGTCCCAGTATGGGAGATTGAAGCTCCACTCAATGATTGACATTCATTGTGATCCAAGTTTTGATCATGAGCTGTACGACTGCTCTCATGGTGATCAGGAATTTGCTCCTGCCCCTCGGAATGCTTACAGTCGAAAAGTGCACTTGGTGAAGCTGAGTCCTCACAAAGAAACACAGATGGAAGAAATGCCAAAGCAAGCGCAGTCTACTTGCGGAAGATCAGCCAGTGTTATCTCATGCATGAGACCAGCAGGCATGGGATCAGCTGGCATAAAGTGTGATTCGCAGGAGCGGACTGAGAAGAATCCCAGGGAGCTGGGAACTGCAGCGCGGGGGATGGGCAATACTGGAGAGCTCCATCCAACGAGAGCGGCAGGGGTGGGGACGGGTGGACTGAGGTTGAACTGTCAGAATGAGAGACAGACAGTGCTTGAACGAGTGGAGACCCTTGAAGTTCAGGTGAGCTCAGTCTAATTTCTGTTCCATTGATTGGCATCATCAAAATGGGGGGCAAATCACCATCAACCCTTGTGGCTGATTGGTACACACATGTGGATGCTGATGAAAAGACGATGCGTTCAAAAACTTCATATCCTCATGGATGCAATAATGTTGTGGACTGCCTTCCTTTTCCTTTTTTGGGAAAAATAAAAATAAAAATGGTGCGGTCAGTATCTTTATTGTAGCTGAAAATCAGGTTCAGCATCCCTTACATGTGTACGGACTGAACGCCTTCCTCTGTTATGACCGAGGAATCCTGAGTCAGTGGCATTGATTCTCCCATATCTGGAAGGATTTGCCCCTGCTCACCCCTGCTCCTATCGGCCGCGGGGCAAAATAGAGTAGAAGCGTTTCTACTCCGATGAATTTGGGGCCCTTGTACTGGGCCCGTTTCTTCATGATTTTTGCAGCTTGTATACCACCATTGACTTTCTGAGGTTACTGGTGGTTTAATTCTAGTCCGTACATCCTTCTCGAAGGAAGCAATCAATGCCGCCCACTCGGGCCTCTCAACCTTAGTGGGGAGGAGCGTGGTGTGAGTCAACTTTGTACTATTCATTGACTTGCCGGGGGAATAGGAACCGGACTGTTGTTCCCCAGAATGGCAGGAGCCAGAACCAAGAGGTTCTGATAAATGTGATGACCCGTCCATACATGGACTGAAACACACAGCTGATTTCTGAGTTTTGCCCATAGACTGAATGCCCTGCTGAGTTTCCCGCTTGCTACTAAGTCTGCGTGTGCACGCTTGCTGGACTGCATGTCTGTCTGAGTGCTGGATGGCTTGAGTGTGTGTGTGTGACCATGCCTGTCTGAGCGTTGGTTGGCCTGGGTGTGTGTGCGGCCATGCCTGTCTGAGTGCTGGTTGGCATGAGTATGTGTGTGGCCCGTCAGGGCACTTGCTCGTTCATTGGGCCCTCAGGGCCGGTACTTACCTGTGGCCGTGATATTGAGGGGTTGCAGCGGGGAAAAACACTCAAGTAGCGGGTAGGCCGGTACCGCACCTGGAAGGGGTAGATGTGCAGGTACCGGAGGCCGAGCAGAAGAAGACAAAAGTG